ATTCTACAGAAGCCACACCCCCAAACTTAACATGTTACACAAGCCACACCCCAAACTCAGCCTTCTACAGTAACCACACAAAAACCCAGCCTGCTACAGTAACCACACACAAACTCAGCTTGCTACATGCCTTAGCCTGCCCATGAAATCAAACTGTTTCCTATATACAATGTGCACTGATTACAGCACGCTGAAAGGGACACAATTCTGCAGTGTTTTAGTACTTGACTTAAGCCCAAGTCCAAGACCATATTTTCAGGAGCATTTGACTTTGGCCTGGACTCGGACTTGAATGAGCTGGTCTCAACCAGTCTTAGAAAATATGGTCTTGGACTTGAGTCTGTACTCGAGTACTACAGCACTGCAGTTCTGAATGTTTAAGCTGCTGTATTTTAAAGCAAATAAACGGATAGAAATTGTTTTGTGATCTGTTTTTTCATCTAACTGATGTCAGAATACCTTTAAAAAAAGATTTCAAATAAACTAAGTATATATTGATGTGTGTGTTACTCAGGTGCTGAGCGCGCTGGACTCGAGCCCGACGGCTCGACGCACTCAGCTGCAGCACAAGTTTGAGCAGGTCATTGCGCTGGTGGAAGACAACATCTATGAATGCAGCAGTGAGGCCTGAGCCCACATTCATTCCCCTGACCACTGCCTCAAAGGACAGAAGCCCTGACGTCCATATCTGATCAAAACTGTCCCACATTTACTGAACCAATGAGGAGAATCAAGTGAAGTAGTGAGGGGGAAACGCCCATGTTTCACCGCTTGTTCTTGCTATGATGAGTTTATTGATTTTCTATTGCTATAGTATTCAGCTATTGACTTTGAATTAGGAGTTTGTTTAATTAATTGTGGACTCCAGGGTCCTGGGGCCCTGCAGTCATGTGACGCACTGACCCCATGCTTGGGGAGAGCCACTTATGCACTGGATTATACAAGACCTTCTCCATATAGCAATATTTATAGCTGTATGATGATTTCATAGTGTTATTTGAATAACGTTTCTGATGGGATATTTGTGCCTGCACTGTTCAACGGCAGTCCATTTTAATTCCACGATGCCTTGGACTACAAGTTACTATATGATTAACATATAATAGGCTTGAATGAGACTGTTGCATTTGTATTAATTATTATTATTTGAAGGGTTTGGGTCTTTCTTTGGGTCCAAACCAAAGTGTGTGCATCATTTTTGTAGATATTCTGCTGGAATTGTTTAATTTTTTTGGAGAAAGAGGGAAATTTTATCAATAAAGACAAACTTTACTAAAACATTGTGTAACAATTCCAGTTTTCTTTGTCATGTCTTTTAGTAAACATTTTTGGTTTTACGTGAACTTTTATTTCTGCTTTGCCCCTATATTTTGTAATCTGCAGACAATGTCATGTCTTTACGCATTTACATATTCAATCATAATTCTTCCACAGATGACATTTACATCTAAACGTTCAGAGAACTGTTTCGCTGGGTGTGTGGTGAATCTCCTGAGGTCTCGTCTGGCTCCAGCACTCAGTCTCATCAACATCAAACTTTATAAAGAAACAGCACATGGACTCAGAACTTAAGCCTACAAAAGGTTAACCGGTCAAAATCAGAACATGACTTTACAAGATCATAACTGATCATAGCTAAATACTCATCTAACAGCTGGATTATCAGCCAAACTATTGGAACAGCTGTTGAGATAAATACATGGGAATGCCATCAAGTTACTAAACACATTGCAAGTATTTTGCATGTAAATACACAATCACATGCAGCACAAACATGCAGCAGTATTATAGAGATCTGATTGGCCAGTTTTTACAAAACGTGTAAGATTCCAGGGCAGAAATAAGTGAAGTAGTAGATGTAGTTGCAGACGGGATGATGTGGAGTGACATATGTGTCCTGTACGAGGCTGCTGAGAGCATTTGTCCAGCTGTGGTCAGGCGGGAGCCACCTGACTGGATGAGACCACCGAGGACTGAGTCTTACTGGAGGCCGTCATGCTGGTCTCCTCCTCACCAAACGGGTTCTTTCCACAGCAGACCGTAGTGAGCATGCAGTTCCTGAACTGGACCAATGTAAACACATCCAGGATTATGGCAAACAAACTTTCACGAGACACTCATCATGAAGTAGTTAACATGTCACGTTGGTTAAATGCCTGACGTGAGCAGAGCTCATTGCTTTTATATATATATACAGCAGATTTCAGCTGCCTGTTGTAGCTACTCTGTCAATTAAAATTGTAAATAATGAAGCTACAGCTTATGAAGTTGAACCGTTCTGTGTATTAGCCATTAGCCTGCAAGCTTATTAGACGTTATGAGGTTTGATCATTTGGTAAGAACATGCATTTCAAATGGTGAGATCCACACTACAACTTGTGACAGCCACAGCTGTAATTTTTCATCAATTAGATTTAAATAAACTATATCAGTTAAGCCTGTTACTGTTAGTATGCTGAAACTGTGACAGGCATGTAGATTGTAATTTGGTGGATAGCACTGTGGTGTCTGCTCTTCTTCTCTTCAGTGTTTTTCATAATGCACAGCTGTCTAACCGTTTGAGATGTTTGAGCTCCTCCATAATGTTTTAAAACAGATTATAAAATAGTTAATGCAGCTCCGCGAATTTGATGATCTGAGCAGTATTTCACGGTGATATACAGCCACGTGACTTCCTGTATGAGTGAGTCATTGAATTATTCACTCAACCATTTATTCAAAAACACTGATTCATTCAGGAATGAATGAAAGAGCACTTCTGTGTGTTCCTGCCGTGTCTTTCTTTAGAACTGTTTTTACATTTACGTAATATTGTAGTAGTATACTTAGTACGTAGTACATGATTTAGAACTGTCTCACCTGTCTGTTGAGAATGATGTAGATGACAGGGTTGTAAAGCGCTGCACTCTTAGCAAAGAAAGCAGGTATCGTCATGACTACAGGACCAAACTCCGCCCCCTGATTACCAAAGATGTACCAGGCCACGCTGGCATACGGCACCCAGCACACTAAGAACGAGATCACCATGACAACCACCATACGTGTCACTTCCCGTTCGGCCCTCTGGGTCGTCTCTGATTCCTGCTGCTGAGCAGCGGCCTAACGACAGAAAACAAATGACAGAAAATAATGATCTATGTGGTGTTTGTGGTCCTGGATGCTGATTGGTCCAGTGGTCCAGCTGTGTCAACAATAAACGATATGGTTATGATGTGAAACACCTGCTCATCACTGCACAACACCAATACAGGTCAACTATTAACCTCACGTCAGGAAGTAGATCTCGTGTCCTTTGTGTAGTAACTGCTTTAAAAAAGCACTCTAAGTCTGTGCTTGTTTGTTACATATGAATCGTTCATTTAAAGTGATAGTTCACCCAAAAAGGAAAATTATGCATTTTTTGTCCATACAATGTAAGTCAGTGCTAACCAAAACTGTTTGGTAACCAACAGTCTTCAAAATATCTTCTGTGTTCTACAGAACAAAGAAATACATGTTTGTGTGTGTCTTACCGCACGGACAGTGCAGAGAAGGCGACTGTAGCAGAAGAAGATGATGAGCAGTGGGATGGAGAAGTGCAGGATGAACATGTAGATGACAAACGAGGTGTTGTTGATCTCAGGTTTGGGAGTGTAGTAATCTATTCCACAGGAGCACTGCATTCCCTCTGGAATATACCTGCACACAGTCACATGACCAACAAACCTCCAGTCAGGACCTCAGTATGTTCATTAGCGCACTGTCCCAGCTTCACATTTCACTGTTGTGGGGAATTTAGTTGACAAACGAATGGATAAAGCTCTGTCTTTTGTGGAAGACTGTGATGGAGTACCTGGACCAGCCCAGCAGGGGCGGCACACAGCAGGTGAGGGCCATGATCCAGGTGAAGCCCACTCCCACGATGGCGTGCTTCTCTCCGAAACGAAACGTTGTCATTGGCTTACACACCACAATATAACGCTCGACAGCCAAAACCACCAGAGACCACAGCGCGATCTCACCTGACAAACATAGAGAAGCCATCGATCACTTCAGCTCCAAACTTATAGTCTCCTCCTAGTCCACGTTAGAGATGAGAGATAGGATAGTTTATTTCAGAATCCTCAATGGTTCTGGTTTCAGTGTTTTGTTGTAGCGATAAACCTGTTGCAGTCAGAATGCAGAATTACTATAAACTGATGTGTATCACTGTCATAATATAAAATGACACAAATCATGGTTTAAGACAGAGGTCTTCAATCCTGCTCCTGCTCCCAGGGACCAATCTTCCTGCAGAGTTCAGCTCCAACCCTAATCAAACACACCTGAATCAGCTAATCAAACTTTTCAGGATCACTTGAAAATACTCAAGCAGGTGTGCTGAAGCAGGTTGGAAATAAACTTTGCAGGACGGTGAGTCCCCAGGAGCAGGGTTGAAGACCTATGGTATAAGATGTTGGTCATATCGCTCAAACCCAAACAGTTCTACTGAGAACTTGATTGAACGCCTTAATACTCAATCTGTATGATAGAGTTACCTAGCATTCAGAACCAAGGTGACAGTGGAAAAAAAAACCTCCATGTTATGTTGGATAATGGAGTAAGAAACCTGTCTGAGAAGACGTTATGGAGAATGCCTCCAGCATGACCGTGTCTGAAGCATGTGTTTAAAAGCGACAATGCCATTGGACGATGACAGTCTGTGACTTCACTACTGGTGTGACCACCAGTATAAGAGGATGCCTGTAGTGTTCATTATCAATTTCTTTGTCTTCAGGATCCGTTTGTTTGTGTATGTGTGAAGGTGACAACTGTGGAGAAAGACCCAACCCAGCTTTTCAGGAAGTGTGTGCCTCTGTATCAGCAATACTGACACCTGAGGACACACACAACTTGTGCGTTAAGTACTTGGGTGAGGAGCATGCACATTCTGGCCTTGAGGGGGCTGAATGCACTCTTTGTGAGACACTATTTGTGTTGTATTCATAAGTCTGACTGAAAGAGACGGGTAAGAAAGTTTTACTTCTTTGTTCTCATCTGAGGGATAGTAGTTAGCGTTTGCACAGTGTGTTCGGCTATTGAGGGAGTTGAAGGCACTCACACTGGTGACTGTTCACATGCACACCGCGGTTCGGTCCCGCATTCATCAAAGCAAAATAAGTAGCGGCAGACAGTCTGGCGGGATTTCTTTTCCTTTCAGACCCCATCTATTACTCCCATTTTAATGGTTTAAAATGTGAGCCCTAATTCTGAGGAATTAGATGCAGTGCTTGAAACTGTAGGTGCAAGAACAATCCTAGTCATGCACAAGTTAAGGATGTCACCAACTAAGATGGCGTCCCTCCTCATATTTTATCAGGCTAGTCGACTCTTCGAGGTTGAGCTGCCTCCCCCCAGATGTTGGGGTCTATTAGGCAGGTGGCTCCCTTTCTCGCCAAGTCTAGACAGTGACATCAAGTGTGAGTGGCTCCCTTTGAGCCTCCTTGTTAAGACCGTTAAGTCCTTTTTTGTCTCAGCATGGCATAGTGGGCATTTGTTCCCCGTAGCGTCTTCTCAGAAGCAGTGCGAGTTCTACTTGAAAGGGAACGTCTCGGGTTACGCATGTAATCATGGTTCCCTGAGAGGGGAACGAGACACTGCGTCTCATTGCCATGCCTAAGGCTTGCCTGTTT